CTCCCTGTCCACTCTACCACAGCCCCTGCTGTCACCCTCTCTCTCTCTCTCGTCCTCTCTCTCAGGCTCGCAGTCTTTCTCCGGTTTATCGCTCGTTAAGTTTGCCGCCGCGTAATTACCATAGCATACTTAGCGGCTGCTCTTCTATGCATATCAAGTTGACCTGCCTCCTAGGCCCTTAACGAGCTGTCCTGCTGCCGACTTGCCACATCTATAACTAATCTGCCTGGCATATATATTGTTTTTTTTTTGTGTTGTTTTTTATTGTCTGCTTTGCATCGCACATCAACATTTCTCGGCTGTTGCCGCATGTAAAATGCTATAAATTTAATAATCAGCAATAATATACTTTTCATACTCAGACGCTTGGCGAAAGTTCAAGGTCAGCCAACGAGTGTGGGTGTGCAGATCTCCCACTCTCTCTCTCTCTCTCTCTCTCACACACACTCACCACCCTCTCACTGGGCGTGTGTGTGTCTGTGTGTGTGTGCCCTGCACCGGTAATAGTTGATTGCAAACTGCAATTATATTATGTCCAACTAACTGTAAACGTAATGACTCAAGCATGACTTGTGCAGGACTCAGCAGATACTGCATAACATTGAAATAGTTCCGTCTCTTATCGATTTTACACCTGAGCTGATTTCTGCTGCATTAACAATCTCATTTTGCTTTAGATTGTTTTTTTAGATTAGCATCTTAACAAGTTGGGTTTTTATTAGCTTAAAAGAAAGTGAAATGGAAATGGCATTGCTAATTGTATTATGAAATGAAGTTTAACATCTCTGGGACAGTAAAATTACTTTGGCACCTCAGCTTAAAGGCAGATTATATATATATATATTCGATTAGATAATTGTTGCATCTGGAGATATGATAGCTTAATTACTTGCAATATATTTAGTAAAGTAAAGTAAAGTTTCAGTTTATTTATAAATAAACATATTTACTAGTACTTTTCTATTTCTTATTTATTTATTTTTTTTTTTTTAATTATTAATTATTTATTTATTTATTTATTTTTTTTTTTTTTTTTTTTAATGCATTTGCTCTACTTAAGAATAATTTTCAAAAAGAAGTATACATTTTTATTTAAAGTATAAATTTAAGCAAATGTATAAGGAATAATAACTAATAAAATTAATCATAAAAATTAATAATGAATAGTAAAAAATAAAAACATATATTAGTAAGAATCTAAAGTTCTGTTTAAAAGTCTTAAAAAATTGTAAAGTTTTGTCTAAATACCACTCCGCACATTCCCATTTCCATTTATAGGGCATATGTTAGCCAAAGCTTGTTTTTTTAAATAAATTTCAAGAGTTTTCACATTAGCAGCCAAATGAATAATGTTTGTAATTCGAAGAGTTGGTCCTCTGTGCAGTCGCTGCTCTCATTTTGCAGTTACGTGTGTATTTCATTTTTCATTTCCCTCTCCAATTCTTATTTCATTTTTTTCATTTGCAATTTTGCTGATGTTTACATATATGTATGTATGTATGTATTTTTTGTGTTTCATTTAATTTCCTCTTGCAAATATCAGCGTCCGTCTCCTGGGCAAAAGATTTAATTTCTGACAGTTTTGCGTGTTTGTACAAAATGTTAAAATGCTGCTCAGCATTTCTTTATAAATATATATAAGTGGGTGGGTGTATGTATGTGTTATGCTTACTTTTCTCACACTGGAGAACAATGTTTATTTAAAAGAAGCTTCAGTGTGCGTGCGAGCACATATTCAAAATAATAATCAAACAAAAACTAAACTCTCACCTCGACCTCATCTCTATTTCTCCTGCTCTTGCTCTTGCTCTTTCTCTTGCTCTGGCTCTGGCTCCGTCTTTCTTTGGCTATTCATGCAATTTACGTAGGCATTAAATTTTAAGCACTCGCCTTCACTTCCCCAATACAAACATCTCATTAATTTCACGTGCCGGCAGTCATAAACAACGTTTTCCACTAGAAGAGCTAGATAAACTTTGCGCTTGATGCCAAAACATTTCTCGTTCGGTTCTCGGTTCCTCAACTCCCAAGTTGATTGTTGTATTTAATAGTTCTTGAATGGATGCATTCACACAGACACACACACACACCCATACCCACACTCACTTACTTACTCTTATAGATATTTATAATCGAGAAATTTTCTTAACAATTACGCTTTGAGCGCATTGAACTGTTTTCCTCAAATGAACAACGGAACCTAAACAAATTTCCAAGGCGCATTCTTAATTTATGGACACAGTCCAGCATGTAAACGACCCGCAACACGTTAGGCTTGTGCTGCGTGTGCTATAAAGACCCTTTCTCTAGGCAACGTCTAGCTGGTCTATATATAGAACGTAACAATTTGGAATGTTTAAAAACGGAAATACTTTTTGGCTTGCCGTAAATAGCTGAGCGATTAAAAATGTATCCCTAAAGGTCCTATCAAATAGTTTTTGTATTATTAAACTCTTTTTATAGTAGTTGTTTATTATAAGAATATTTATGGTCTTTGGGAGAAATTTATAGGTTGATAAATGGCAAAGAAGGGAAACTATACGGTATCAGCTATGAATTAAGATAGCTTAAGACCTTGATTTGTAGAGATAGCTATTGATATATAGATAATAGATAAGAAATACAAGATACACGATTCAGGACAGTAGATACTAGATCTGGTATCAAGTATCTAGCATCGATACTTGATACCAGATACTACATTCCAGATACTAGATACAGGATACCAGATACTAGATACAACCAGAAAAATACAAGATACAAGCTACAAGATACAAGATACAAGATACATGATACATGATACATGATACTAGAAACTAGAAACTAGAAACTAGATACTAGATACTAGATACTAGATACTAGATACTAGATACTAGATACTAGATACTAGATACTAGATACTAGATACTAGATACTAGATACTAGATACTAGATACTAGATACTAGATACTAGATACTAGGTACCAGGTTCCAGATACTAGAGTCAAACTCCATTTTATTGCATGGATGGAGTTACAATAGATGAAGGCTGTATTGTTATACAAATTTTAAATTTCACACCCAAACACTACTTTGACTAATCTAAAAATCAATAACTAATATTTTTAGGTAAATAAACATAAGCATAAATAATAAATATTCTAATGCAAAAAGTTCCCCCAGATTAAGTAAACGGATTTCATTGAAAATTCGTGCCATAAATTATAGAAATTCACGGAAAATCGTTAGCAAAGATAATTTGTGAAGCGCTTTAGCAATAATTTTCCAGCTGACTTAAATGCACAGATTATCAACAAGTGCATGCAAAACACAAGTACACAAACACAGACAAAGCGCACTCAATTATGGTGAAGAACGAAAGAAAATTAGAATGAAAAACTGGGGGGAAAATTGCACAGAAAATTGTGTAAAATGAAAGCGGCTAAAATTAGACGGCAAATGCAGTAGACAAAGGCAAAGTGGGCTAGTTAATGCAAGTGAAGCCAGGCACAAGGCACCAATTGAGACCCAAATAGAGCAATTTCGGGCGTAGACCACCTAAGTTAAACAGAAAAAAAGCAGAAAAAAAAACCCAAAATAGAATAGAGAAAAAACTTAAAGCCAACAATTAAGCCTTTGTTATGTTCAGAGCTGTGCTACAGCCGGCGGACAAGTCCGAGCCAAGAGCATAAGATGCTGATGACCATTATGATGATGGCAATCATAATGATGATCATGATAATGATAATCACGATAACGTTCTCACTGTGTGTGTGTGTGTGTGTGTGTGTGTGTGTGCTAAAGGCCATTAAGCTCTACTTGTATAATACAAAGCGCACACATTTAGCTCAACAACTACGAACTATGCACTTGTAATCTGTGCATAAATATTTATAACCTCCCCCCGCCCTGCCCAGCAGCGCCCCCGCCCCGCCCCATTGACCGCCCCTGTAACGCCCACAGTGAAAAAGTGCCCCGAGTGCGTTTTGCGTCACTGCACATAATCAGACGCCTTCTGTATTTTGCACTTTACATCTTTGCCACACACACACACACACTGGCTTGGGGCGATTTGCCATAGCGCAAAGATACCCTACGCCACTGCTTTGTGTGGTAGTTTGGCTTTTTATTTGAGTCTGAATTATATCAGATAGTTTTGAATGGTAAAGTCGTTTTTTCTTTTATGTAAAGTTGGGAAGATTATTGAGTAAAAGTTGAGAAAAAACTGCAGATATTTAGTTGTCCGTATTAATTCTGTTTTATATCTGTCAATATATAGAAGGAACCCTATTTTAAACATTTATAATATTTATTTAGTAATAGTTCAATAAAACAGAAGCAACAGATTGATTAGGCTAGGTTTTTTTTTTTTTTTTTTTTTTTTTTTTGTAAATAAAATATTTAATAAATTATAATATTGTTTTTTAATTCAATTGAGCAATAAGCTTTACAACAAATGTTGCATAATAAATCAACAGTTCAATAAAAGCCAGAAAATATTATATTAGTAACTACCAAAATAAAAGCTCAGAAAGTTTTTTGCTTATAGAAACTGAAACGTATAATTCAATTAATATTTTATTACTTATCAAAATTTGTTAGGCTCAAGTAATTTTTTTTTTTTTTTTATTTTCTTTAAAAGTAATTAATAGTAAATCCAACTCCACACATACTACAATACATATAATATATATTTAAAAATTTACAAATAAAAACTGAAACAATAAAATAAATATTTCCTCTACAATTTCTTATGCCAAATGACACTTCCACAATTCCCTTTTTCTCCATCCCAAGCGCTATTTATTGTTATTATTAAAAATAACAAAAATATTTATACATTCCATTTGAATCGAAACCCCATAACATTGTATGACTCTCCTTAGGTTTTCTATTCATACAAACCCAAGGGTATTTCTTGTGCCATGTCAGCAGCTTGCAAAACTATGGCCAAGCGTGATATCTTTGTAGCATGTGCGTCTTATCTTATTTCTGTATATTTGTTGCTTCTTTATTTACAGGCGCCGGTGAATCGGGCAAAAGCACAATAGTCAAACAAATGAAAATCATTCACGAGAGCGGGTTCACTGCGGAGGACTTTAAACAATATCGACCGGTTGTCTACAGCAACACAATACAATCATTAGTTGCAATATTGCGAGCCATGCCAAATCTTAGTATTCAGTATAGCAATAATGAACGGGAGGTGAGTCGAATAACAATTCCATTCTAATGCATTCCATTTATCTATCTAATCTGACTCTCTCTCTCCCTCTCTCTCTCTTGCTTTCTTTAGAGCGATGCGAAAATGGTGTTCGATGTGTGCCAACGCATGCACGACACCGAACCCTTCTCAGAGGAGCTGCTGGCTGCCATGAAGCGGCTTTGGCTGGACGCCGGCGTACAGGAGTGCTTCTCGCGCAGCAACGAATATCAATTGAATGATTCCGCTAAATAGTGAGTAGCACCTTTGATTTGTACCTCCTTATAGAAATTACCTATAGGCAATGGTGGCGGGGCTATGAGTGAAGTGAAACAGATTGTCTTGATAAGGGCTATGAACTGAGCAGACTTCACAGACTTCCCTTTGAACTATGCTGCATATCATAGCGTTGTTATGGTATTTTGCTTATGAAGAATATGAAAGCTTAGCGCATTTTCTTTTCTATTGCTACGCAAACATACTTGAGATAGGCAAGCCTAGGCCTATTTATAAATCATTCTTGATAGCTGAGGATGAAGTTTTTATAAATAAAATATTAAGTAAGATGTATAAACAAAGTATTTCCAATACAGTTTCGATCAATAAGGTTCTTATATATAGTTAGCAACAGCTAATTATATATAGGATTATTAATTATAATAATAAAAAAAAAATTGTTTGATTCAGTATGAGCAACAAGCTTCACAGCAAATGAACAATATGTTGCATTATAAATTTAAATATATATGTACATATATATTTATAATATATAGCTCATAAGCTATAAAAATATATAATATAAATAAAATATAATATAATATAATATAAATCAAATGTTTAAATAAGAAATTAAAAAAAAAAATACTTCCAATCAATATAGAGTGCTATAATCCCAATGATTTATGGAGGTCATAGGCCAGTCTTCATACAAATTGTATAAACATTTATGTAGTAATTCATTATATTTAGTCATGAATCAAAGGCTTACTGCTAATTCTCATGACCTTGAATATAAGCGAAATGCTGCCGCCTCAATTAATCACATATTCATCAAAGGCATTACATGCACAGCATATGTCACATGTACTATACATACACGTATATAAATAACGGTACATGTGTATATGAAATTCAACATTTATGTCACATAAAACGGACTAATCCCCATGAATAATCGTTTCAATGTGCGTCTGTGTTCCACTTCCATTGCATTCCGCGCGCTTGCATGATTAATGTAGCATAAACAAAACACACACACACACATACAGAAAAACACGTTGCATACTTTTAGGCTCTTTATTGACTACGACTTTTGGCTGCGTACAGTAAAACTAGAATTGATGACTAACACGAATACAATACGAACAAAGATATATAGATATAGAGATATATGTACAAAGCTACTGTTGCCGCTGCTGTCAGTGTCCTGGCTCAGATACATTTGCTTAATTAAGAAAAAGACAAACGCGTGACAGTCAAGCAAATGGAAACCAAACAGCAAAAGCAACAGCAGCAGCAACAACAACAACAGTAAGAATAACAAAAAATATGCGTGCTGCTAAAAATATCACACAGCCGCCGCGTTGTGCGACAGCTGCAAATCCTCAACGGCTACTGCTGCTGCTGCTCCTCCTCCGCCTCCTCTTTCTGCTTCTTCTCCTTGCCTCACTCTTCGCGTGGCGTCAATTTGAAATTTAACGGCGATTCAGGTATATACGTGGAATTGACGCGGTAAACGAATTCGTCGGAATTATAGGATACGTGGTATTTGCGAAAGATCTGCCATAACAAGAGACAATTAAAATTTCATACCACACTCTCCCCCTCTCTCGCTCTCCCTCTGTCCTTACCTTGGCCAACAGCGTATGCAACTCGATTTCAGCGAAACGCCGACCCACGCACATGCGACGTCCATAGCCAAAAGGCAGGCTTACGAAGGGGTGTATCTTCTGGCCCGCATGCGGACAGCCCTCAGCTGAAATGAAAAAGTTGTAAATGAAAAATAGAGAGGAAAAAAAACTATTTCCACGCCCTCTTTTCACACATACCTGTGCCCTGTTTGAGCCAGCGCTCGGGCAGAAAACGTTTGGGTTCCGGGAAATATGTGGGATCATTTGAGACCACCAGATGTGGAAAGATGACGTGTGTCTGCATAGGAAAGAGAGAGAGAGAGAGACAAAGAGAGTAAAAAAGTTTCTATGGTGGCAACCACGCCCACTTACGCCCTTTGGCACATGATAGCCATTGATAACAGCATCTGCCTGCAAATTGCGTCCATTTGCAATGACCACCGGCTTCATCCTGTAAAGGTAGAGACAGAGAGAGAGAGAGAGAGAGCAGCTGTATAGAGTACCTGTGTGTGGGTTTATATCACTAGTGAACCTACCGCAGCGTCTCTTTGACGCACGCTCTCATATACGGCATCTGCTCGAGGACATGCTGATTGATCTGGGCATCGCGCGTTGGAAACACGCGCTGCAATTCCTCGAACAAACGCTGCTGCTTATCTGGATTCTTGGCCAACTGATAAATGGTCGACGAGGCGGCAACCGAGGTCTGCGAAAACGGGGTTAAAGTTAGCTATATATATAGATATATATGTATATACTCTTATATGTATTTCACAACTTGTGCGTTAATTACTTAATGAGCTTTATTTATAGCCTGGCGTAATGGCAATAATGATTGTGTCATTCGATTATCTCTTTAGATTACAGCAAATATATATTACAATCAGCCATTATTTGTCGTTCATTTTTAATGCCATGGATATGAAGTGAAAATGCAAATGGAAAAAACGATGCTATCTATTGATAATCTATTCATTTGCCATTTAGTCGGCGTGTTTGTGTGTAAATATATGCGTAAATTAAAGGGAATTATGGGCTGATAAACCTTTTACAAATGCCAAACAAAATTTTAGAATAGAAACGGAAAACAAAGTAATAAATAAATATTCAAAGTTCTTTGCATTCATAACCAGAATTTTATTTAAATATTTTATTTATCAGAAAATATATTAAGAAGGAGAGACAACAAACGGGAATATTTAAAAAATATATATATTTTATGTTTAATATTACCCAAAAAATAATAAAATAAATTAAAAGATAAATAAATTAAAAATAAAATAAATAAAAAATAAATTTAAAAAAAATAATAATAATAAGCTCAATATATACATAAATTACATTATAATGATTATTTGACATTTTTAAATATAAAAATTAAATTATGTTCTTCATGATAATGTAATTTCAACAGATCTTTTAATACTATTGCATACCAAAATTTTTTATTTTATTTAAATTTTTTAATTAATTTTTATTGTATATTTATTGTCAATATACTCTTAAATATCACCATAAAACTATTCATCCCTTATAAACACTAACGCCTCAAATGATAGTAAATAGTAGATAAAATAATAGACTAGAATCCTGCTTCAGGAATTACAAATCAATCAAGGAAATGGCGTATCAGAACTTAAGTTTGAGTTGTGCAAACAAAGCCAATTTAAGACATTCAAATTGGAATGCAAATCAGATAGCTGCGCCACTCCAATCAGAATGCAAATTCGTATCGAATACCCTTAAGCTATACTAGATACTATATATATATATATACATATATTTCAAGTAGTGCAATTTCGCAAAAGCTTTCGACTTTATGCAACTATTGGCAACAATTACTCACCGTATCGACGCCCACGAGAAACAGATCCAGGGCCAAGACAGCTGCCAACTTTCGATTGCCGGTTTTGCGAACGATGCGCTCCACAATGGAGATGTCTGCCTCGCTTTTGGCTATCGCGCTGGCCTGGTCCGCGTCGGCCTTGTCCATCGTCTGGCTGATGTTCTTCATGCAAATGCTAAATCCATCAATTGAAATGCAAGATATATGTATGTATATAAATGTGTTGTGAAATGGGGGCGTGTCGCAACCTACGCAGAAAATTGATCCAGGGCGCGCACAAAACTGCGATAGGCCTTCGTGGGATAGAGGCGCCACAGGGGCATGCGAAGCTCCAGCTCTGGCACCGCCCAGAAGAACGTATTGATGGCCTCAATAATTTGCTGTGCCTCAGCGCTGCCCTCCGGTGACAAACAGCCCAGTCGTGTGTCCAGTGAAACACGGCCCACCGCTGCAAGGACGTAGGCCAAACAAAGAGCAGGAAAGAGAGGGGGGAAAAGAAGAGAAAAGAATCCTTTTTTATGTGGCCAACTATTTGCGCCTATAAACATCATCGTGGCTTACATTCGAGCGCCCATTTGTACAGTTCGTGCAGAAAATTGTCGGGCAGCTCCTGCTGCTCGTTGCGCATCTCGTCTATGCTATAAAACGGTAAATGTGAGCTGAGGCTGGGCAGGTGCCAAGGAGCTGACGACTAACTTACCGCACCATAAACTCGCTGGCTATATCATTCAGCGGGGGTATGTACTTCTTGGCCGTTTGCGGTTGCAGCAAAATTTGTTGCACCTCCTGGCGAAATGCCTCCCACTTGGGACCGTGCCTAATTGTGTGCAGGTGGGTTTAGAAGTGAGGTGAGGTGAGATGCAGAATGGGTGAGTGAAACGTTGCCAAATGCAAACGTAATACTTACACGCCAATTAGACCAGCCACATCGCCAAAGAAGTCGCGGCGCAGTTCACCCTTATAATGTCGCAGCGAAGGCATCGAGGGTCTGCCAAGAAGCAAAACATATACATGTATAAAATGACAAGCACACTCACACACACAAGAATATGTACATATGTACATATGTGTGTATATTTGATGAGCCGGCAATGCGGCGTATGCGCAATTTGATGCTTTTTAAGGAACATGATGTCAAATGGGCTCAAGTTGTTTGACTCTCTCAAAACATGGCTTGTGCCTTACATTATTCAGTTACCAAATGCTCGCGTGAGACAAAACAAGCAACAACAACAAGATACAGATACATTTGTGTATCTTGTATAAATTCGCATGTCGCTATATAAATAGTCGCATTTTATTTTGTTTTACGACTTCGCATTTTATAGCCAAGTGTGGGCTGTTGGGATAGGGTGTCGCGCTTAGTAGGTTCTATTAAACACACACACACACACATACACACTCGCACTCACACATATTTGTTTGTCTATTTGCTGGGCTCGTTGCCCCAGGCAACAATATTCAATTAAATGGCATAAAACAAAAGTCATATGACTTTATTTAGACACTCACACACGCACATTAGGGGTATTCAAGCTAGATTGCGGCGGCCTTTCTT